CCCCCCCCCCCTTCACTCCCTGGCCCCTCTCGCGCCCCGCGTGACACTCCAACCGAACCCAACCTAGCCCGAGTGAACCTAGACCACCTCGCAGAACACACCCCCTGTATGTCCTACTCCAGGCAGCCAGCAACCCACCCAACCTCCCACATGCTACTTACTCCGCTACTGCTGTCTGCTGAACGCGGCTGCACTTTGTTCGAGGATAGACATGGCGGCTGGAGAAGGTTTCGGCGACGTCCTTTCTGGGTTTACCTCTGCGAGAGTAGTACCCGCTCAAAAATTTGTCCCGACTGCCCAGATTCTCGGGACGAGCTGATCGATATTCGGGGTTAATAAATGTATAATTGCTTCCGGACGGAAAGCTTCCGGAATTTGGCGCATTGAAAGCCCCCGGGATCTGTCGATCGTGCGACCTCGCCTTTTGATAAATGGCTCCGCATTACACCTTAGACCCCTTCGCACGACGTCGCGACGTTGAGTGAATAATGACCTAGCGATGTCACACTCCGCGGGGAAATTCGTTCTAATAAAGCCAACTTTCAATCATACGGTAACGATCCGCCAAAACGTGTGTCAATGGTACAGAAGGAAGCTGAAGGAAAGAGAGTAGGGCTAGTTGAAACTATTTATCATTTACTTAACCTCAAGGCCCAAAGTGAAGTCTAACTTGGTTATCCCAGTAATTCCACCGGAAGAGTGATCAAGGCTTGGGACTTCCTGCCTGAAGTACACCAGGTTCCCAGTAGTGATACCTACCTCTGCTTACCCACTAGCCTGAACAGTAACCACCTTCTCTCCCTACTGCCAATCTTCTTACCTTCGTCTTATCTACAACACCAACTCGGTCGTCTCTGATCAGGATGAAACCACGTCGACAGAGTGCTGCTCCGACTTCCTGCCATCGGCGGAATGATCGTTTGCCCCCAAATGCCTTGATTGTCCGATAGGCCTATCGGCGTTATCTATCCCTTTTAATCATCCGCAGCAGCCCTGTTATTATCGGGACGTGCAAGAGACGTATCTTCTTACTATCAGGTCCTTCAGTTTGCTGCTGTTTGACGTCTCAGTGTCGGGACATCATCTCTGCGCTAGACTGGACCCAACATAACACACCGACGCCTCATGAACTCTGCTTTTCTCCACATACTCCTCTCCTAGAACTCTCTTTCATCTGGTCTCTCTCTCTCTCTCTCTCTCTCTCTCTCTCTCTCTCTCTCTCTCGAGCAAAGGGGAACAGCCCTTCGACTACTGCTGCTTTATACTACCCATGTAGGTAGACGTCCCGACGTTTCTCCGGGTGATATATCCCAGAGGTTTTCTTCGCTCGTCTTGGTGCTACGCCGACGCCTGGCATCGCCGCCAGCGTCGACTTCAACTTGACAGCGCCTGGTGTCAATGTCAGTTGAGTTTCACTGTGTTTCTTGCAAGGGACTGTACGTCGAACGACGGACTAGAGTGTCCCCGAGATGGTCTCGTCACTTAGACGTCGGTATTGAGTTACTTGACGTCTTGCCGGAAACATGGGAAACATATATCAGGACTTTTATATCCTAGTAAACTAGCTTCCTTTCCTTTCTCTATGTTCTGAATTATTCCTGTCTTATGTCGTATGTGTTTCATTCCGTTCTGCCTTTGTACTTTCTCATTGTTCTTTTCCTTCCCTTTCCTTTTCTTCCTTCCTTCCTTCCTTCCTTCCTGTTTAACTTGCATTTTTGTTCATTCGATGAAACGAACGAGTCGATGACCTAACGAGCTCGTGCTGCTATGCTCCTTTCTTCAAGGTCAATAACCCAGTAGTTACCATGCTCGCTACCCAGTAGCCACGTCGATATTTCCGATCGTGTTAATATCATCGTAAACTTCGACTATGCAAATTCGAATGCGGTACGAGCTGCTTGAATCACGACTGTGAGAGACTGGTGTTTCAATCTGCATAGAAAATGGTGCTTCGGTTTGATCGGCACAGGGTTCAGAATAGGACCTAGAATCCAGTTTGACTCGGGAAAATAGTATGTTTAATTGCGACGTTGAGCGATTTTTTTTGCAAGTTTTACCTTTTTTGCGATAAAAACGTACAAGGATGCGAATTTACTATCCCTGATCATTCTCCCCGTAAACGGTGTCTCGTTAATGATTGGCAGCTGCACGCCAATATTTACTGTTTCGCGAAATTCATGAGATTTAACGTCTTACACTTCGTCCGGATAATAGCAGTCATTTCCTGGCACTGGTTTGATGAACCAACAGCCATGGAGATACGCGCAAAGTCTCTCTGGAACTTACCGCCTTTCTCCTTTTCTTCATCTCGTTCATTGTGAGTAGATGCATTAAAATAATTTGCGGTTAAGGATTACTGTCGGGTTTACATCTTGAGCAAGAAAGGACCTATCGTGACTCGCTGTAATTTTGTGTCTTTTCTCCCTCCTCGCGCCCCCGTTGGCTCGAGCCAACCAGTTCATGAACCCAGAGGGGTTCCAGCAAACGAGAAGGAGAGTCGGCATTAACGATTCGTACGCAATCTTTTTAACGTGGCTAAAGTAGCTTTGGAATTTTCGAAAGATTACGTTGAGCAGCTTCACTCTGTTTCGCACAGAATTCGGCCTTTATGCGAGACACGGAATACGATTAACGTCGGCCCAACTGGTCCGAGTTAACTATCGTTCAAATCGACGAAGCGTTAGAACTAAATGTAGCTCGTAGAAAAGTTGCGATAGGTAACAGTAGAAAAGGAAGACATTGGTAGTTACTATTGTCCCAAGACTCGTTAGAAAATGAGTTTATTTCTCTGTACCACATATACTATGTACAAGGTTTTTCGGTACTCGACAAGTACGGTGTTCGGTCGCGAGAGAAAGCTCAGTAGTATAAAAAAAAAAAACATAGAGAGAGAAATTAAAAGAATTACGTATTGTCGTCGATACGGAATTAATCGTAAAACGAGATTGCGTTCTTGTAATAAAATAAAAAAGAAATTAAAAAAGGAAAAAGGTAGGAGGTTTATAAAGTACGTGAAATAGTTGCGCTCGTTACGTAGTACAATATTAATGCGCAATGCGTCGTGCCCGATGTAACAGAGCACGGGCGCGTGTAACTGTAAAATAAATAAGCGATGCATCTTGGTGCGCCTGATTATATGAGTCTCGTAATCGCCGGGTGAGTTCTGTACGTGACGCTCTGGCGTTTCGCGATTGTAAAAATGGTACGATGTAAAAAGGTACCTTTGCAGTTAAATGGAATCGCGAAAATTTTATCAAGTTGGTAAACTCGAACGTGGACAAAGGTCGAAGGTGAGAATTATGCTCGTCAGGGTACAGAACAGACTCGGGCTCATCGAGGTCACGGCTTACTTGCTGGCTGATCGCGCACCTCGGGCTCGAGGACAAGTTACGGCGTCTCTACTCTCGGCAGACACTCGTACATAATGCAAGGTATATAAACATAACATTCATTAGGAAGAGACGCAAGTATTCATGCAGTAGGACGCCAGGAGAATCCCTTGGACGGGAAATAAGGTCATCCTCGAGCCCAATATTATTATTGTTATTTTTTTGTCCTCCTCTCGTATTAAAACTTAAGCGATTATGACGTTACAGTACGTCAATTAATATTATGTATATTATATGTATATATTTACTTTTATATATATATATATGTCAAAGATCGTATCGATCATCTTAAAGGCAGTTTCCATTGAATTTTATTAAACGGTTAGCCCAATTATTTGTCATGTGAGGCAAGGGTTCGATAAACTCAATGAAAAGTGCGTGGCAATGTCTGGATATAGGGTGGCACGAGAAAGCTTAGATTAAAAAAAAAATTGGTTGTATTTATATTACTATATATCGTCTTTGCCGCAAATTGAATTTGAAGAGGGCCCATGACTGGAACGGATTCAGATTTGGAATTTGCCATCTTGGAGGCTGCGACGACCGTTTAAGGGAATTCAGATTAGATATCGGAATGGCGATGTATATCACTTTTGAGATCCTCGTCGACGACCTGCTGGATCTTCGTGGTCCGAAAATGACCGAAAACAAAAATTCTTCTCATACCCAACGGCTTGGAGACGGTTTTACGAAATTCTCGTTATACGCGAATCTCTCCGTTATACGTTATTTCGGAAGGCGAAGATCGATCTTCCTTTGAAGATTGCTCAATGCCAGGTGGACGTGAATCGCGAAGGAGATGATAAATTTAATGAAAATAATTATTCGGGATATCATTACCGAGCTCCATTATGCCACCCTGTATTAACGAGCCTGACTGTATATCTGTATGATATTCAGTACGCCCTACTGTTTCAGAACACTACGGTTGTTCGTACGTTATTGTCGAACTTGTATAATTGGCTCTACCCTCTCACCACAAGCAGCTTGGATATACCTCAGCGTTAGCGAAATATTATGATTATCGTAACAACATTAATTATAATTAATATGCATTTTATTATCACTTATTGTATGTAGGCACCTTTTGTTGAATACGTGAACTGAAGTTATGACGATGAAAAGTGCTAGGTACTACGTCGAAGTGAGTATACGTATATCCGAACTAGTGTACCTGGATGCTGGTTGCGGGAGTGATTGTATCAGATTATAAAAAGGAAAAAAAAAAAAGGAAAGGAGTTAGTAATTTATGATCTTACTAATTCGATGTAATTTTTTTCGTTCGTTAAGACGAGGAAGAGAGTAGTTGGTAATGGGATTATGGGAAAGTCATTGGAATTTGCAGATTTCATCTCGTTGAATCTCCCGCGAGAGTAATCAAACATGAGCAAACATCGATGGGAATAGCAGACATCGCTAAAGATAAGGCTAATGCCTGCAATCAGAAACCAACTATTTATCTTGATGATTGTATTCTAATGTTCAAGTTTCTCAATTAATTCGATCCCACGGAGTTCTGTGTGCTTTGCCATAATTTTCTAGTATTCGGATAACAGTGAGGTTACGTTCGATTCCAATCGTACCAACACTCAGTAAGATGTATAATTCAAATTTCCTTTTTTCAGACAATTCCTTTTAATCTCAGATACAAATTTTTTTTTAATCACTCCTTGATCCGATTTCGATTGGATGCTGACTGTTGTTTGTAGATGAATATTAACCCAGGAGTTTCAGCGGCTCCTCATACTTTTGGGTAACACTGGTCCAGATTGATAGGGCCACGTGTGCCGATGTAAATTAACATGCCCGGCATGGACAGGACGTGGCTAAGGTTAAGTCGGAGAGGATAGAGGTTACGTGGTCCAGTATGGAGAGATGGCTATCCTTGATGTGATCCAACAGCACCCTAGCGCCACCCTATCAAATCTACCCTCACAAGCTTAGCTTAGCCCGAGACGCCACAAGAGGCAATTAACCTTTCGCCAACCCCTTGACGCGCATGCACCCTGCCATACCCCACCGCGATCCCACTGATAGCCTACTCCAAGCATCTGCATAATCACGCTTGATTCCCAATGCTAATTAGAATCCGCGGTACGTAGCAAATACACGTCGACCTCCATCACCAACTAGACCCTCCCCTCTTCCTACCCCAGAAACTTACTGATGATTATATCAAATATAATTATACATCCGTGAGTTAGTCCCTTGACCTGTACCCTAGAAATTGCTCAATGTATCTCGGTGAAAAATATTTATCAAGGTTTCTAATCTCTGTCAGGGGGAAGATGAATTCTCCATGCTTCGATTAAAGGCTACACCCACTGAAATTATTATATTAGTCCGTAGGTGATCTCTTTCAGGTAAAGGACGATAGCCTAATGGGATCTAGTTACCCTTAGGGCAGTTTCCATGAATGACAATAATAATGAATTTCCCTATTGAGGTTTTGATGTTAATTGCTTCTAGGGTTGGTCGGACAAGGGACCAGTTTCTGAATTGGTTCGGATGCTGTGGAATGATGGAAGGTACGTGTCCCCTAGTGTCTTGTACGTTGAAGAAGTGTGATGATACATAGACGCCTAACCAGGCACGATCAGAAAATATCTAGTAAATAGGTAAACGCAGCGATACAGTACGTGTTTACAGAGACGGTATTCGATAGATATTAAGAAGATGAGACACGATCGAAGGACTTGGAGTGAATGCAGCCGAGGCAAAATGGTGGAATTACTAGTCAATTTTCATAGAGCGCTTATTCGTTCGATCGAGAGACGGCAGAGAGAAAAACAATCTGAAGACGTCTCTCGATCTTTGGCAAGTCAGCCAGAAGGACGCTAGGCGTCTCGTGGAAGCCAGTCGACGTGACCCTTCTTACGTGAAATCGTGACGATCGTCAAGATCTGGCGATCGCACAAGATCGAGAAGAAGCACTCGAGTGGTTGAGTTCAACAAAAAAAAGTTGAGAAAAAAAACAAAGTGAAAATTCAGTAAGCTATAAAAAAATGCTAGTTTCATTGATCGAATCGACGAGGTACCAAATTTCATGGTATCGACGTCAATGACGATTCTATGACTGGAAGGCATTGACTGATAATCACCAAGTGACTCAGGCCGCTTTTTAGTCCTACGAATTTGAAGATGAAAAGATCCAAGCAAGGATGCAAGGATGCTGCTTAGAAGCGACGAGAGTAGCCGGCGTCGTATAACTTACAGAGGCTGTCGGCACGTCCGGGCATGCCGCCATGCATCCCTGGGACTGACACCGAGACCGAGAGTGCCTCTTGGTGCTTCAAAATCTGCCGACGTCGCTGCCAAGTGAAGGTCCAGGCGGCTATGATGGCGATCTGCGCTACCAGGAAGACGGTACCAGCGACAATGGCCTCGCCCATGTTGATGCACATCCCCAAAGTGCTGTCGGACTCGATGAAAACGGTATCCTTGGCGATGGAGCTGTTGGCCGACTTGCCGTCGCGTTCGAAGCCGAATTTGTCGGTGATCTGAATGGACTGGACCAAGAGTAGATCATCGGTTGATTGGGATGCAGAGCGACGACGGCGTCTTCCGTACGAAATGACCGAGCGAAGTTCACCGGTCGATTCCTCCTGGTCGCACTGGACTGGCTCGCACGTTGGCATGCAGGGCGTCACCAGGGCACGGAATTGCACGACTTCGGAGCTCGGAAATTTGAAGGCGTCAAAGTGCGAGAGTAGAATCTGCAGATAATTGACAGAGACAAATTTTATTAGCTCGGTGTCGATAAATAAGCATCGTTTGTCTTTGGCTAATGACTGCCAGGATATATGTATATGGTTGCTGCAGCAATGGTACAAACGGGCAGACTGATTGCTTAGCGTTAATCTGAATGACTGAAATTTGTGGCATTTTGATTGGATAACCGCTGGCTAATTTTACGAGTATTATACACTTTATGGTATTACTGAAGTATATTTTCTCTAATATTAATGATGTTTCATATATATAACAATTTAAGTCAATCGCACTGTTTTCCATTCCACCCTTCCTATGTATGCAACACGACGGGCAAATCAATTCAATTAATATCACTGATTGTGTAATTTGAGGGCAAAATTGTTTCGAGGCTCAGCAAATGGGAAAAAGCAAACATTTACAGAAAAGTGTAATTTTGTTTTAACATGACGAACTGTGAAGTTGTTTTACGCCGACGGAGCCTCATGAAAAGAACTCGTATTCTTGGTCGGATTAAAAAATTCATCGTTCGACTTGCATTCGCCGAGGATAAAAAAGGTTTCCTTAAAATTTGCCAATAAAAAGGGGAAAAATCCATCTCCCGACTCCTGATAACTTTAACGTAGGCGCGTGGAAAAAAAGTCTCGGTAAAATAAAACCAAGTCCGTTAAACGGAATGAATTTGCTCCCGATAACAGTAATGGCGAATCCACAGTAAAAGGATCGCTCGCGTTTCACGGCACGATCGGTCGCGAATGATGGACGATTTCCTGACTGGAAGAATTTTTACTTTTCTCCCGTAACTATTGGCCGTAACCAACGGCCTCCAAGATGGTATCTGAATGAATCCGGATGCTGACGAGGAAATGGTCGCGTTCAGCTACTTAGCAAGTACAGTTTTAATATATTGTATTACAAGTCAATTTCAAGTTCCTATATTATTACATGTATGCGAAATCGTTGCGAAATTACATACCGCAAGGACATGCTATCTTTGCTGTCTGTTCGCGTTAAACGAGAGTGATCCACTTTCCTAGCGAATTCCTGTTCTAATATAAAGACTACTGCTGTGTAAGAATAATTACATAGTATTACCGTATAAAAAGCCTATGTAGTTTTTATACCGAAGGCATTCATCAAGCATAATCAGAGGCGTCCGAAGCACTTAGGAACATTTGCCGTACGTGAATTTAAGTGTGTCAACAAGAACTGCATTAGTAAGAAAATGCATTCGATGAAAGAGTAAATGCATAATTTACCGAACGCATGTCAGTATGACTATATAAAATAAAACTCATATGCGTAAAATAAAATGGAAAAACCTATAACGTCCAGTCGAATGAATCAGAACGTCGTTTTCATTGAAAAATTTAACCCCGTATACGTTTAACCCCTGACCCTGTCCACTTTAAAAGTCCAGCCGCGATATACTGCTACCTTGAGAAATGCTTCCAATTTCAGTCAAAGTGGTTGTGAAATGGAAGCTCCAGTTGCGCGACGTGACAAACATACGGCTGGGTAGGAGCTCTTCGCAAATTCCTAAAGGAAGATCGGCAAGTCTGGTAAAAGTCTCACTCGTTTTTCTTCAGGTCGTTTAATAAAATCAACTTTCTGGACAAAAGTTAGGTCCCCGCTTTCTCTAAATGCCTCGGCGAATTTATGCCCTACTCCCTGGCGCTCGCGTATTTCACTCCGGCAATCGACAAGGAACTTCCTATTGCCGTATATAACCCTCCTCCTCCCTCTCCCGACCAAAGAATATTTTTTCATGGCACGCCAACAGAAAAGTGAAATGTGAAATTCGTTTATCGTCCGTCGGAAAATGAAGTTTACTGAAAATTGAAAAAAAAAAACCAAAGTCGAATTTAAAAGAATAAAGATTAAAGCATCCTCTTACCGTAATGGGAAACCTTTTCGACACGCTTTTCAAGTTTCATTGTCCCGGAAATTTTTCCGTGATTGAATGGTGTGTATATATATATCGAATCCCAACAGAGATTACATATATAGAGTACACTATTCTAATAACGATTCCAATACCAATCATCCCATTACTGGTATAAATTTGCTCTTTGTTTATACCGCGACTGTTATTACTTTCTAATAAAGCAATATTGTAGCGTTCCATGTAGTAAATGATGTGGAACGACGTAGTTAACGAGGCGGTGCTGCTTGTCCTGAACTTTCATTGGCTGCTCACCCGATAGATTGGACCGTTGGGTTTGTTTTGCTCGATTTTCGCGCGTCCGCAGACTCGCGACTCGCGACTACCGCGGATCGAGAATCGCCGCGAGCGTAATAAACTCTAGATAATGTATTCTCTCTGACGTGAAGTAATTGGCAGGAACAGAATTGATATGAATTTTTTCTCTCTATACGTCCTCCTTGCTTCTTTGTTGTCAGCATCGGATCGTCCGGACCAAAAACCTTAAGCGTTATTATCCATCGAACTATCGGCTACCTGTATTACTGTATCCGTTCTGGTTGATCTTGCCGAACACGTATAATATTTGCTAGTTTAACTTCAGGGAAAATTGCGTAACTCCTTAATCGATTGACTAGACGAAACTGTCTTTAACCACGGTACCCGTTGTACCTAGAAATACCAATATGTTCGGATCCGCGGTAGTGAGCTAGAAAGTTTAGCTGGCGAAACGTGAGGGAACTATGTTGGCCTCTTAGCTCGTGTGTCATCGTGTGTCATCAACAGGGCTGACGTCTAGTCCAGGTAACTTGTTACCTGTGGCAAATTGCCAGCGCTCGTGAAATTAACCAACATGATTGATTAGGATGATAGGGCCAATTGTCTGTCGGTATTTTTGAAAAGTGTCAAGAGGGAACCCAAAAAATTACGTAGCGAAGATAAGGATAATGGAAGACAGCACGTGTATCCGTTGTTCATTGTGATCAGAGCCATGATGCACACCCGGTACCCACGTGTTGGCATATCTAGGATTGGCGAACGTTCGACACTGTCACTGGCACGGGTAATCAGGACATGAATGCTTGACGAATTGGAGTCTGATCTGTTGCGGCAAGTAAAAATGAATAAATCCCTCTGGGTATGGGCGAGCGGTCATTAGCCTGTCATCGGGAAGCTATGCTGAGGTGGATGTTGGCCCGGGGCAAGGTAACTGGGCTGAGGTATGAACCGGGGCTACTTACCTTGCCGGAGGTGGCGGTCTTGTAAAGTGGTCCCATTATGACGTGATCGGTGGGACATCCGTCGGAATCGATGAGCACGATCTCGCTGGAATCGACGCCGTCCATCGCGACGAGTTCACGAACGAAGATCTCGTAGGGACTGTTGGGATCGAGGATTTCAAATTTAAGGGCCAGGGGGTCGCCGACCTCAGCTGAGGGTACTGCGCCACTGCCACTTCGGTCGGTGATCTTCATGGCGACGTTTGGCGAGTCGACGATAACCTCCTCTGAGAGCGCCGGAGTGATGTCACCGTGTACACCGAGGTCGACCTCGTTCGAGACTGTCTTGTTGGTTAGGTCGTATTGGCAGGTAACGGCCAGTCCCAGGTCGGAGCTGGTGACAATGGTGTCGTGATGCTGGATAACGACGTCGTTCAGATAGCGACCCAGACCCTGCTGTCTGACGTTACACTCGAGATCATCGTAAGCCATGCGAAGTTCGAACTCTAAAGCTCCTTTCACATCCTGCACGCAAGAATTGGGCGATCCTTTCGCGTAGACTTTGCCATTGAAGAGTTTGCTCGTTTGAATGCGAGCGACCATGTCGCCGGCGCGACAATCGATGGTCACGTTGTAGCAGGAGCTCAGCTCGTAGGTCGATGCTTCGGGCACGTCTAGGTAAGGTTCCTGAAAAGAAGATTTATGTCGGGTTTACATCAAACACTCTTCGCGCTTGGTCGCCCAATGTATTTTCGCTAAATTAACACGTTGAGACTTCCCGTAGGAAAGTTTCCCATTACCGATTATTTATTTTCTTGTGAGAGAGATACACGCGGAGAGTAAGTGGAGATCAATGGGGAATCGTTCATTGTAGAAAGAAAAAAAAAAAAAAAAAAAAAAATCAATGAACAGTTTTCTTAAAAGTTTCCTCTTTTGTTTCTATGAAAGCGTGGGCGTTCGGACAACTACAGGTACCTAGTCACGAAATGAAATTGTCGACCAAAGTAAATTCTAAGGAAAGAAAAAGACTGATCCTCCCTCACGGCAGTTCGTACTTTTCTTATCGAAATGGAAAAAAAAAAACTGGTGCGTGAGAGAGAACCGATGGGAAAATTCGATTTCACGCGAACGTGCCGTCGCAGAATCGCTCGATCAGCCGATAACCCGATTTACCAAAAGTTCTTAAAGTTCCTCATGCATACCTGAATATCGGAGAGTGTAGCGCGAGAGTGATGACTCAATCGGCACACCATATCGCCGGTATCACCGTAATCGTATGAGTGACAACGGAATGGCGAATTCAAACAGAGTTCACGGCACTCCTCGGCGCTCCCGACATCCTGATACACGGAGTCGACGGTCTTGAGGATTCTGCCAGTGAGCTTTTTAAATTCACAGAGCTTCACGGGTTCATCCACACAGTTGTTCTCGAGGTAATCGATACCCTTGGCAGACTGAAAAGCACTGGATCCCGCGACTGTCAATCTGTCCATATCGGAAAGCTCGCACTCCTTGGTGGCATTGGCATAATTGGCAGATCTGAAACAAAATGTAAATCTTCAACCAAAAGTACCATTTTCAACATTTAAATTCACTCTATTTCCCTCAATCCTTCAGTCTCTCGATTCGAAGCCGTAAAATCAAAACTAACAAACTTATCAGAATATTGACTTCTTAAATGCACCTCTACTGCACTTAAATGCATAACGTTGATATACGACTGTACACCTATCGTATATTCTCTAGTCAATTACGTTAAAAAAAATAATTATCAATCCTTAGAAAAGACGATCGCGCGTACCTTTTATACGCAATTTCTATATCGTATGCTAATAATGCAATCGTATTTATTATATATTATAAGAGGTCAATTATTGTCTTATTTGCTTTGAATGTCGCAAATAATTTACAGCGGTACTCTTTTTATTCTCCTCGCTCGAAGGGTTTATTAAATTCGTCATACCGAGCGTGGTGGGGAGGAAGAATGTGGCAATAAAAAAAAAAGGAGTCGGAGCGAGACAGAGTACAAAAAAAGCCAGGAGAACTCACTCGTGTCACTAATCTCATTTCAGAGGTGGACTTTTTCTCTCGTTTCTTGTCGCGCATTGTAAATTATTGCGGTGTAACGCGCTATCGGATATGTGGCTACTTACAGACAGTAGCCGGCACACGCGATCCCCTTTTATCTTGAACGTATATAAAAGCGTATAAAAACATACACTCGAATCATACATAAAGTTTATAACGCTTATAGTAACACGGATCTAATGAGGTTTTAATAGATATCGTGTGTACAATATTGTAATGTAAAAAAATATTACCTTAAAGATAAATTTTAATAGATTTTATTAATTTTAACATTATTAAAAGCAATGCTTGCTCAGCCATAAGCTGTGATTGAAAGTTTGAAATTTTATGGCAGGAAACTTATGAGTTTTTAAGAATATTACAGTCACTCTTATATTATACAGGTATCAAAAGTGTATTAATAAAAATGGTCGTTTCACTTCCATTGTAAATAGACTAAGCAGTTTTACGGGTTTAAACTTTCCATAAAGAATTTTAATGTATATTATTTTACGAATCACCCTATAGATTGAGAGCACGTGCAGCCTGTGTATATGGTACGATCGTATATTATGGTTCTTACTAATCAAATAAAAGTGCTCTCTTGGTTACAATGTATTTCGCGTTATCTCCCACGTATTCCAAGAAATAGAAACAGATGTTGGAGAACGTTTCGAAATTCCGCCTAGTACAATTTGAATTTTCAGGTAACATCAATAAAACCGTAGAATATCAAAGATATCGGAGATAGCAATAATATAGTTTATGTTTGTATTCAATGTTTCAATGTTATTCCCTTATTCGCCTATACTTTAACGTCATTATCTTATACACGTACTACTATATCTATTACATAAAATTTTTCGAATACGTTAGCACCGACTTGCGGCTATGCCATTTTCCATTATTTTCATTCCCTTCGTATACCTAAAAACAGATTCGCGAGAATTGTAAGGCCAATAGGGTTTGCCTCTCAGGTGCGAGATCTTCGTCATCATCCAAGTGAAATTTCCGGGGTCGTCTAAGACCGACTTGGTACCCCGAGTTCGGTAGCGTTATAAATTTATTCGAGGTCGCTCCATCGATTTGGGATTATATTACTTTAAGACGAGAATAATATTCATGAGAATCCCGTTATGATTTCAATATTCTCGTTTGCGCGTTTCCCGTTAATAAAAGAGGGAAAAAGGGGAAGCATGATAAAAAATAGGGGG